CCGGCCCATGTGTCTCCACCTCCCTTCCTCTCTCGCGCTCAGATTCTTTCCAGATGTGCGCAGCGGGAGGGGCCTGGGGGCTGGGACCAGCTTCTGGCGGGAGAGGAGAAAAGGGCGCCCCCTGCTCCTGATCCCGCTGGAGTGGCACCCGGGGCATGCCCGACTCTACCCTCCGGCGGTATGCTGCGGCCCATTGCCGGCAGCTGCTGGTGAAGCCCGCGCACAGCAGGGAAGTGGGGGTAGGCTACCCAGTCTTGACTGCGGCCCACCCGGCTCCCGCCCGTACCTGGTGCGCGCCCCGCGGGCGAGCAGGCTCCCGGGTGTGTGTTGCGCTCCTCGGGCGCAGGCGCCTTCCATTCAAGTCGAGCTGCGCGTCCCGGACGCCAAGTTTTGTTGTGGGTTCTCTCCTCCCCGCCTCTCCCCCGCTCCCCGCCCCCGCCCCGCGGCATCTGCCGGACGCCGGCCTCTTCCCGACACAGGCGCAGGGTCCCCAGGCGCGGGGAGGCAGGGCCTGCGCCCTGGGTTTGGCGGCTCCCCATTTCCCTCGCAGCCAGCCGGACCGCACCGGGCCCTCTCCGCCCCAGCGGGCGCCGCACCACGCCCCTCGCGGGGAAAGCGGGTGCCTACCGCGTCCCGCATCCCACTGCAAGCCTGCAGGCGACTGCACCGATTCGGGTCCCGCACCTGAAAGAAGCGCCGCCGAGACGGCGCCTTCCACCCAGTGCCGCCAAGCTCAGCTTCTTCCTCGGGTTGGAGGACTTTGCAACCTTTCCAGCACAAGTACCCTTCGGTTCCCTCTCCTATCCCGGGGTCCCGGGCTGTGGCTAATTCGGCGCTAGCCAAGACCGCTTCCCGGCAAAGTTCCTAGCTCTCCCCTCTCCCTTTGCTCTCTGCTGGCTCCGACCCCACAACCTGGTGAATCTTGAAGGATGGTAAATTGGGCTGGGAGTCTGGGTAGGTGCACGCAAATCCCTGGCGCAGGGAAAACCCAAGGGGTGGGTAGGGAGCCCTTTCGGCACCATATTGCTCCCAGGAGCTGAAAACGTTCCAAGGAAAGGAGCATTAACTACTAGCAGCTGAATCAACACTGTTTGGTGCCAGGGGCTTCATGGTGGAAAGTCAGTGGGACTGGGTTTGGGTGGTACTTGGCACTTCCACTGTGCAAAATCCTGTCCTTCATACCTGCTCTGGCCTACAGGCAGGGCACCACAGCTATCTCACCTTGCTCAAAGAGCGGCAAGGATAAATAAAGCAAATGTGCACTGCCAAGACCCTGAACGAATGGACGGCTCTTGTAAAGTGGCTCCAGACTCTTCACTCCTGGTTGCCAGGGCATTCTCCTTCTATCTGTATCTATATACCCATGGGCTAGTCTCCAGTTCTTACAACCTGCTAAGGAAAACTGCTGTTTCATCTTTAACAGCAGTCAAAGAAAGGAAATGGCCTCTGCCAGGGTAAGTGACCAGTGCTAATAAAATGCTACCTGACAGATAGGGTCTGGGCCTGTCTATATTCTCAACAGCCCTCCCTGTGATGGAACAGGTGGGCAATGTGAGCAGGTATGGAGAGAGCCTGGATTTGAACCCACAACTATGTTTCCATTACACCCATAACTCAAGAACTTAACAATAGTAGAAAAGGGAAATATTTTGCCTTCTTTGGCCTCAAATTCCAGTCTTCTCTGAACTCAAATTTGAATGTTGGTATGATTCACAGGGTTGGACAGGGCCCAACAGAGATGGGTCTTGTGTTTTCTGGACAGAGCATAGATTCAACTGGAGCTAAAAGGACAGGATTCTATTGGCTTGATTACCCATGAACCAAAATCTCGAACAAGGAGAAACCAGCACATATCGAACACCTACAAAGTGCTAGGCACAGTCCTTAAATAACCTATCTTTCCAGCCCTATGGCAAAGGTATTGTCTAGAGTAACTTAGACCTGCTAGGGCCTGGGTGTTTTAGGGGCCAGCCAGTTGGTACACCACATACCTTCTCCCCCACCATTGAAAAAGGCTTTGCCCAAGCCAGTGATGCACATATATAAAATAAAATAAATAGAATATTAAAAAGAGGAGGGGTCTGGAGATGGCTCAGTGGGTAAAGTACTTGCCATACAAGCTTGATCAGCTGAGTTTGGATCCCCAGAATCTCCATAAAAGCCAAAAACAGTAGCATCAAGCATCTGTAATCTCAGCACACCCCTCTGCAGGCATGGGAAGCCACACAGGATCCTCAGAAGCTCACAGGCTAACTAGCCTGGTGTGCACAGCAGTGAACAAGAGACCCTGCCTCAATGTGGAATGTGTAGACCAACACTGGAGGTTGTCCTTTGTTTTTTTGTTTTGTTTTTTAATTTTTAATTTTTGTGTATATCATACAGAAAATCATCTTTATAACCCCTTCCTCTTTGGCACCCTCCCTGAGCCCTTGGTGGGTGGATCTTAATATAGGAGTCCTGTCCAAGGGCCCACACTCTGCAGACTCTTATTGTCTGAGTTTTGGCCATTTGTGACCTTTTACATTCCTGGCCCTCTGTTGCATGACGGAGTTTCATTGATGAGAGTTGAAAGATGCATTAGCGTTCTCTTCATCCCTGGTTCTATGTTCCGTGAGCCTTAGGTGTAGAAGTTGCATCTTAGATGTGTCACTTAGACTTGGGCAAGTAACAGAGAAATCTCTGTGTGACTAGCTGTGGAACTCTGGAATTATCTTTATTGCTTGAAAAAAAGAGCTTCTTTGATGGGTGGTGACTAGGATACTTGCCTACAAGTTTAAGGATCCATATTTTGCACGTGATATTACATTTGTCTAGGAATGTGACAGCCTTGGAGTTTTCTCTAAGATCTATGACCTCTCCAGCTATGTGTATTTGGCTAGGTTTACAGTACCACACATGAGTTTCCTCCCATTGAATGGGCTTTAAGTCCAATTAGGTAGCTAGCATTTGCCCCCAAGATAAAAGTAGCACAACTGCACCAATGTCGTTTGCTGTGCTGGTCCATTGGTGTGGTTTTCAGGGCTTGAAGCTAGGGCTGGACCATTGGTTGCTGTTGTCCCTTAGCAGCTTTCTTAGCGCTCTCCAAAGCTATGAGAGCTAGCCTTCAGGGAGGTGGTGTCCAGGTTCAATTCCAGCTCCACCGCTTCAAATCCCACACACACACACACACACACACACACACACACACACACACACACATTAAAAAATGACAAGTGGTAAAAATGAACAAGAAACCTCTCTACCACCCTGTCTTCTAATGAAAAACAGAAGGAAACAACATTTAAAAAGAGGGCTAAAGACAGACATACAGCTGGGCGTAGTGGCGCACACCTTTAATCCCTGCACTCGGGAGGCACGGGCAGGTGGCTGAGACTGAGGCCAGCCTGGTCCACATAGTGAGTTCCAGGCCACCTGGGGCTACAGGAAGACCCTGTTTCAAAAAACAGCAAAACAAAAACAAAAGCAAAAGCAAAAGGAAAAAAGACATGATACAGAGCTAAGACTGAAGGCGGCTCTCAAAGGGGGCCGGGGAGAGACGAGAAACACAAGCTGTCACATTTCACCATTGGGGAAGAAAATATTCCCTTTCCTTGAGTTCAGGACTCAAGACTTTTCTTTATCCAGTAGAAGAGTCCTGAATACTGAGCTACGGCAGTGGTTTGATTCAGAGTGCTGTTTGGGTCTATGGGGTCTATCCGAAGGGTTTTTATGTTTGTTATTTCCAGGATTAGGGATCAAACCCAGGGCCTTGTGCATACTGGGCAATGTTCTACCACTAAGCTTTATCCTCAGACTTCTTTTTTTGATTTTTTGATTCTGAGACAAGGCCTTGAACTTTTAATTTGCTTGCCTTGGCTTCCCAAGTAACTAGGATTATGTTTGCAACTGCCTGGCTGAAGGCTCTTGACAAAGGACAAAAGTTAAGGCTATGGAGATGGCTTAGTTGGTAAAGTGTTTGCTGTGCAAGTATGAGGACCTGAGTTTGATCGCCAGCACCCATGTTTAAAAAAATAAGGTGGGACACAGTGGTATGTACCTGTAATCCCAGCAACTGGGAAGCAGACACAGGATCCCTGGGGCTTACTGGCCAGCCAGTCTAGCTTAATAAATGAGTTCCAAGCTCAGCAAGAGATCCTGTCTCAAAAAATATGTAGAGGGGCTAGAGAGATAGATCAGTGGGTAAAGTGCTTGCTTTGCACCATGCAAGCACAAGGACCATTAGTTTGAATCACCAGCACCAGTCAGGCATGGCAGCACATGTCTGTAAGGCAACCCAACATTGTGAGGAGTCACAGAGGCCAATCTCTTGAGCTCACTGGCCAGCCAGTCTAGCCAAATTGGTAAGCTTGTGAGACCATCTCAAAAAATAAGGCAAAGAGCAACTAAGGAAAACACCCAATCCCTGGCCTCCAAAGGTTTATACACACACACACATGAACACACACACACACACACACACACACACACACACACACACACACGTGTGCGCTCGCACAGACTCATGAAGGAAGCCGAGGATGGGAAAACCACAAAAGAAGTCTGGATTCCTGTAACATTTTACACAAACTACTACTGGACTTGTATATTTTTCATTTCTGTTCTCTGGATGGAATCCTTTCAGGAAAGAATCTCAACTTGCATTCTGTGAGGTCCCCTTTCTAACCCTAAAACCATTATGATATGAATGTCTTACACCCCCTCCACATACACACCAAGATGTCTACCCCTTAATCTCTAGAACCTGTTATATTCTATAACGCAAAGGACTCTGCAGCTGTGACACATCCACATGCCTCCAGCAAGGGACTTCAGGCCTACAGCAGCATAGAGCTGAGCTCTGTCAAAATCCTGAATGCTCACACCTCCAGATTCTCCCCTGGTCTCAACACCTCAGTCTGTGAGGCCCGTGGCAAAGCATGCTAGAGAACCCAAGTGAGTCATAGTGGTATTATTGTCCCTTATTTCAGGAAACTGATGCTCAGGGAGGAAGTGAAACTTACTCAGGGCACCCAGCTAATGAGTGCTGGAGGCAGAATTCAAACTCAGGTCAGGTCTTCAGGTTCCAACTCAGTGAAACTGCTATACTGCACTACCACTCTGGTTTGAAGAGCCTATTAAGAACAGGCAAACAAAACATCCTCAGGCTGCTTTCATATTAGTAAAATTTGGAATTTTTTTTCGAAGATTCCATTTCATCCAAAGTTATAAACAAGCCCAGGTATAAATAAGTAAAAAAGAAAACTCTGGTCTTTTCTGGCATGTGGAAAAATATTTTGATAAATAATAAAAGGAGACATCCACTGCTGTCAGTGAAATGGCATGCTCCCGGTTCAGATAATCCTTCAGTCTTCATTCAGGTCTGTCTCAGGAAGGAAGGCCTACGTTTTGCCATCTGGGTTTAGAACACCTGTGGTCAGAGATTCGAGTCCACTCATGACCAGGTTTTATTGCCAGGAACTTCAACTGATGTTCAGTCAAACTTGGGGCTTCTTTCAGTCTGCCCAAGTCAACCATCCTCTTACACTGTCTTCATGTCCAAAACGCTTTCCATTTACTTCTGTCCTGAGTATTTAGTCCTAAACAGGCTGTGTCTTTCACACTACAGAAGGTGCCATATTCTAAAAGGTGAATTATAAAGTAACTTGCAGAGAAAACTAAAACCTAACATTGTTGGGCAGCCGATTAGAAAACTAGCACTTACCACTTCTCTGCCTGCAATTTATGCAATTTTACTTTATTTTATCCTTATTTTTTGGTCTTTTTGAAACAGGGTCTCCCTGTAGCCCCAGCTGTCCTGGAACTCACTATGTAGACCAGGCTGGCCTCGAACTCACAAAGATCCACCTGCCTCTGCCTCCTGAGTGCTGGGATTAAAGGTGTGTGCCACCACGCCTTATTCTTTATTTTTAGAAGTTCTGTGATTGAACCCAGGACCTTGCACATGCTATGACAGCATCCTACCATTGAGCTACATCCCTAGCACTTCTGCCTACAATTTAAATAAACAGCATAATATAATCAATTGTCTACAACTTTATTTAATGTTCATGGCAATAAATGCCGCAACTAAAAGGTTGAACTGACTAAATGAACAACACTTTGGGCAATAAGTTTTAGATAAAAAAAAAAAAACAGTTCAAGAAGTCTGGCTAAAATTCCACACCAGATTAAACAGCCAGCCAGATGGAATCAGACTCTGTATTTCTTAAGGGCCAGAAATGTAGCCCAACATTCTCTGTTCTTAGCAAGAATTAAAAAGCTGTTTGTTGCAGCAGTCTCCAGCAAGATCTAAAACTGGACCTTTCCAGAAGATTTCATAACTCTCTATTGAGAAAAACTCTAAAATGTGGCCAGACTTGGTTGTGGCTCCTGACAGCATGTAAATCTTTCAGACTCCTCCTCAGCTGTTGAGTACAAATTCCTAATTCATATCGCTGTGGTCCAATCCTACAGAGTAATTTATATGGAGGTACAACTTGGCAGATAACCTTTCTTCTCTGCTCAGTACCATCAAGCAACCATGGCAAGGGCAGCCAGAACTGTAACCTTTGGCAAAATGCAAACCTCTGAAAGCCATACTAACTAATCCTATATCCACTCATTTAGTTACAGAGATGATTACATTTTAATGGCTCTTGAGAGAGATGTAAAAATGCAGACTGTCAGTAAGAACAAATTGCCCTCAATCCTAAAGCCAATTCAAATGACTGTCTCAGAATGTTCCTAAATCAGTAATTTCTTTATATAAAACAAAACTTCTCAAATAACGTTAGAAACCATCTACTGAGTACATAATGTGTACTTGACATTTTACAACTCCAAAAGGCAGGCACGAATCACTCTTTTTTAAAAAATTCTTTTTAAGAATGTATTATTTTATGGGTATATGTGTGGGTATGTGCACATTGAGTGCATGTGCCTGCAGAGGCCAGAGGCATCAGATCCCCTGGAGCTGGAGTGACAGGCCATCTGACATGGGTGCTGAGAACCAAAATGGTCCTCTGCAATACCAGTATGCACTCTTAACTACTGAACCCCTCTCCAATCCTAATTACTCCCTTATAGAGGGAGAAACAAGCTGGATCTTTACTTACTATTAGCTCAAGGTCACAAAACTGTTTAAGTGCCATAGTGAGGACCAAATGCACATATGACAGGTCTCCAAGTTTCCTCATAATTCCTGGTAGCTGCTGTAAAAGAATTATTGTCTAAAATTGCTACAAGTTTCAGAAGAGAAAACTATTACCTGCAGGCTTTAATCCCTATTTTACCCCCTAAGGTGATATATAAAGGGGAAACTAGGATATTTATGTGATTGAATTATTTACAAGGTATTTTACAATCTTAAAAGAAAAAAAAAAAACACCTAAACTGGGTGTGGTGGTACATACCTGTAATCCCAGCAGTTGGGATGTAGAGGTAGGAGGATCAGGAGTTCAAGGTCATCCTCAGCTACATAGTGAGTTCAAGGCCAGCCTGGGCTAAAAGGCTGTCTCAAAAAAACAAACAAACAAAAAAACCCCACACTTTAAATATTATTGTGTAATTCTCATTCCTTTAAGAAACAGCTACTGACCTAAAACTCTAGTGGACTGTACATTAATACTAGAGGCAGAGATGAGTTTCTAGAACATTATTCAAGATTTTTACAGTAAAACAGACTTGGCCCTCTCATAGAGGAAGAAACTAAAAGCTGGTGCAGCTTGAATGTCTCCTGCTAACTTGGCTTACAGGAGGCAGACACAGCCTGGTCAGGTGCTGATCCCAGAATCTTCTGATCCAATTCCATCTCAGCCTAACCGCCTCTCTCTGCGTCCATGCTCTTCCTACACATGCTTTCCATTATTCCTCTGCACAGCCCAACAAGGAATCCACGCAAACTCATCTGGATAAGTATGGCACCAACAACCCAGTAGGCCAAGTTCTTAAAAAAACCTCAAAAAGCCACTGATGAACTGATTCTTCTTACTATTTCAGGCTTCGTTCTACAGCTGAAAGACTTATGAGAGGTGGTAAATATTCTCAAAGGAAGATCAGGACAAGTCAGGCTGTGAGAGAATTCTTAATGGTTTCTTTCATCAGCAAGGTAGGAGATGATCTTTTTAACACAGACTTCAATTCTGTGACTAGGTTTCCATCCTCAGACATGCCCCTTCATGAATATGAAATTGTTATAGCCAGCTTATATCATTCATTCATTCATTCATTCATTCGTTTGTTCATTCATTCATTCATTCATTCATAGTCAGTCAAGATAGGGGACGAGGTCATCAAACTGCATACACAAGAAGCAGTCTTTGAACCTAAGGAACTCTGGTGGGAGACAAACACATTACCATGAAGGAATGATGGGGTCTGTTTGTGGCACACAGAGGCAGTTTCCTGAAAGGATGGAATGGGAGTTTTCCAAGTGGTGTTGGGGGAGCAGGGCAGGGATTACACAGAGCAGCATATGCGACACTATAGAGTTTGGAACTCAGTGTATCAAATAACATGCATACACAATGGTATGAAGTCCTTGGAAATGAAACGCTCATTCTTATGAGTCACTGAATTTTACAAAACCAATTCCAATCTAGTTTTCATCCCTACTCTGCACTGAACCCAATTTTGCTTTGGTAACCAACGACTTCCATATTGCTAAACTTAGCTCAGTAGACACTTGCAGACCTTAAATTACTTGACCTAACTGACCTTCCCAATTTTGGCATATTGCCTTCTAGTTTTTCCCTCCACCTCTCTCACCCTTACCCATCCACCTGACCTCTGATAAGCTGATTTCTCTGTAGTTTGCATTTGCTACACTCTTCTGCCCTCACTGTCCCAGATAACAAGAGATACCAGAAATAGGGTTTAGGATGAGCCTATAAAAATAATTCTTGGGGGACTGGAGAGATGGCTCAGTGGTTAAGAGCACTGACTGCTCTTACATTGAACCCAGGTTCGAGTCCCAGCACCCACATCATGGCTACGAACTGTCCTTAACTCCAGTTCCAGGGGAATTTCAAACCCTCTTCTGACCCCTGAGGTATTACATGACATGGGTACACTCACATACATGCAGGCAATACACTCGTACACATAAAATAAAAATAACAAATAACATATTTTAAAAAATAATTCCTGGAGGTGAACTATATTTGCACATGAAGGTAATTTATGTATATAACAGAAAAAGGATGGAAAAACTGCAGTACCAGTTCATTGCTTTATTCTAGTGTTAATGGTTGGGGAAAGAGAGATTAACAGGCCAGGGCTAGAACCTGTCGCTGGTATGATGTGAGCAGGCTGAGCCTCAGCTGTATGCTCTGTACCTAGATTGCGGGGTCTGCGATAGTGAGTCCTTTTATTGTCCTCACTGCCAGCTCCTGTGATACAATGTCTGTAGGGCTCTGCACTATTTCTGGAATCAGTTTTCAGTTTGCTCAGTTTCATTTACCATATATTTAATGAATATCTACCATATCGAGGGTACTACATATAGAAGGCAGTGTGTCAAATATTGGAGATAGTGGTGGGTTCTCAGGGTTAAGAAGTCACTCTAGGAAGTAGGTCTGTGCCTTGAATTTATCCTGTGAGACCTGAAATTGATCTGTCTTGGCTTAATTTTTATCCTCAGGCACTATCACTAAATGCCCTTCTGCTAGTCACAGAACACAAAAAGCTAAATGGTCTCAGGAGGCCAGAACAACAATCCCAACTGCACCAGAAAGGACTCCAAACATCTAGAACAAATGAAATGGCCTGGGTTTTACTTCTAACTGCCTTTGAGTAAAAGAACAACAAAAGCTGGCCTACAGCCAAGCATGGTGTCTGTCACACACCTATAATCCCAGCACTCTGGAGGCAGAGGTGGAAGGATGTCCACAAGTTCAAGGCCAGCCTACATAGCAAGACCTTGTCTCAACCCTCCATGTCCCCCACTAATATTGGCTCTTTTAACAATGTAGGAAACAGGCCCAGGCAGGCAGCTATTTACCTGTCTAAGAGAGGCAGTCTCCTGATCAAGTGGTCTTCCCAGTACACACACTACCTCCCTAATCAAGAACTAGCAATTATGTGAAAGCAACCGATAGTCACTGTCTGGCTAACACCCATTGTAAAGTCCCAACGTTTTTCTTTGCACTCCATCACCTAGAAAATGAGGAGCAAAAATAACATACACAACAAAAATGAAGGAGATCAGGAAGAGCTATTTTAATTTTCTATTAAATAGTCTTCCAAAAGCATTATTTTTATCCCATATCTAAGTTATAACAAATAACATTAGAATTAGAAAAACTAGGAAGATAAATTCAATCAAACATGTGAAAAAGGTAAATTATGAGACCCAGTTTATACACTTATTAATGTGAGATCATAATCTGAGACCTGTGCATCTGTAACAAACTTTGCTGATTCAATTATTTTTAGCAACTACATCAAATGACTCTAACACCCTGATTTTTCAAGGATACCCATTTAAAAAATACTTTAAAAATAGGTTTGTATTCAGCTATAAATTTTGCCCCAAGCTCTGATCTTAATTCTTTTATTTCATTTGGGAAAAAAAGTTGTTTCTGATAGCATGAATTGCAACTTTTAAAGTTTTTGTTGTTTTTTAATTCAGTACAGAATTTTAAGAATTTTAAGAGCTCTTAGTGAGAAACCGATAGTGGTAATCAAGAGCACAACACTAACTCCCGTCAGCTGCCGGCACCCTGCTCTTCTCTAAGGAAAGCGCTCATGTTGAATCTTTACCAGAGTAATTCTTGAATATGCTTCTAAGCAAAACATGAGCTTTTGTTTACAGTCTTTAGATTTTACTGTTCTTAATTTTATTCCGAAACCCAAATTTACCCCAAACCATAATCACCATGTTAACTTTGTCATGCACACTTGACTGCAGTTCGTCAAGGCAGTAGTAGTACACCAGCCCTAGTCACCCAGAGCTCAGGAAAAACATGATTGGGTCATACCCACTTAGCAACAAATCTATCTCATGCTATTTGTTGATGTGAAGTTTCTGACAATGAAATATATGGCTATCTACATATCTCTATATCTCATACTGATGTTCCAAAGTGGCCAAAGGGAGCTCTTCACAGCTTAGCTTTGCCCGGCTGAAGCTGAAGGCTTTGCAACTTCATCGCCAGGCCCATGTTACCAGTAATTTTCAATTTACCTTGAAAGAAGGCCTGTGAGTAAGAAGAAACAAAATTCATTAGTGTGGGTTTTGTTCTCAATTGCTCAGCTTTCTAGACTATTCAGGTCTGAGAGCACTTATCCACGTCACTTAAATTTCTGCAAAATAAGAAATCTAACTTTCTGGAAGATTGAGAATCAGATTCCTCAAAAGGAAGAATTCCCCAAAACCATGCTTTATGTAAATAAAAGGGAACAAGAGTTCCCAAATGCCTTCTCTTAAAACTTCCCTCAAAGGTGGTATCCTGCCCAAATATAAGGCAAAACAGATGCATGCTAGACCGATTTCCTTTAAAACATTACATATGGGCTTGAAATGAAATTTTTAATAGGCTGCTGGCATAGAAAGCACACTCAAAACCCATTTAGAAACTCTTGGGATTCAACAGAGTGTGGTCAAAATGCCACCAGTGGCTCTGCGCTGCTCTTCTTGGTGAAAGGCTGGTCCCGGAGAAGGACCTTGAGGACCTTGCTCACAAGTGATCATGTTACTCTGCCTCAGTGAGGAGCCTCAGCCCATTCTAAAGGGCACAGCCACAAACTGTTCCATTTAACAAAGCTTGAGATTATCACCATGTGATTTATCACATGATGTTTGCTAAATTTACCATGTAACAAAATCCTAGGGAAATTTAGAAGTAGCAAAGTCGGGAAGAGCAGGGTTCTTCTGCCATGACCTCAGTGCTCTCACTCAACTCGTGAATACAGAAGAGAGACAGGAGGAAGCTGATAGTGGTCGCAGCTTTCCACACAAGCACCTTGAGCAAGCCTGGCTGCTTTTCTGTACCCTTCAGGGTGAATACCCTCCCCCCTTTTAGTCCTGCCCTGCTCCCCTGTCTGAACAGACTATTTCCTTCCTATATGGCACAAAGCCTTCTGTCTGGTGCCTTTAAAAGGTCAGGTATCTCAGAACACATTAGATTTAACATAACATAAATAACATGTTATTTAAGACTAAGGACCTGTAGTATAACAAAAATTTACTACTTTCTCCTTTTTAAGTTAAAAGTTATGTATTAATGGAGAAAGCATGTCATCCACCGAGAATCCTGCCTGAGGACCATCTTAATCTGGCCTCTAGGTGTTCTTCGTGTGTGCTTTTCTACTGGAGAGCACACTGGTTTCAACTGGAGCCAAACACTGAAATTAGAATTTCCACTGCATTTAATGATTTCCAGTCAAATTCCCTACTGAACATAAGGGAAAGCCATTAGCACGCTAACAGAAAGGCCTGCTGCTTTAATCTTCAATTCCTCTGGGTGCTAACAGGTGCTGACACCTTGCCCCCCACCCGCACCCCCAGGCCGTGATAAACCAGGAGAATAAGGATGGCAGATGTATGACGTATGAATGCTCTGCCAAAGCTGTGCAGAACAGGAGCAGCAGCTGGGAAGAAAATCAGAGCCAGCTCCTTTGCTGGTGGCCTCTGTTGCATCCAGGTTTCTGGAGTAGGCCCCTTAGGCGGCCAAACCAGTGCCAGGGTAAGTGTTCTGCTGAAGCATCACAGATGCACATTGCCCAGTCATGGCATCACTGAAACATGCTTAGTTGCTTAGAAAACCCATTTAAAGAAGAATACAAGAGGGAGCCAGATTTAGTTTTAGACAATCATGAGTATCAGAAACAAGACCTGAAACGGCTGAGATTCAATGGAGAAAAAGGTCTGGAGTTTCATTTTTGTTAATGGGGATTTCTTGACAACTAGGGGACAAGGAAGAATCACCTGAGGCAGACATACAGTTTAGATAGAGACACTTTAATCCAACCTAAAATATCAGGCATTGTACTGTTACAAAAAGAAACATCAAGAACAAGTACTTTGTCTTCTGTGACACCAAGGATCTAATGGGAAAGACTCAGACACATCAAAACTAACATATCATGACAAGTGCTAGGCTCATAGCTCCCCAATGACTTGGAACAAGTTCCTGGATGAGCTAATTTGAAAAGGCAAGGTCTGTCAGGGAAGGAAATTTCAGGGGAAAAAAAAGAGGGCACAAATGTGGGTTGCAGAAGGTCCTGCCTGTGCACACTACCCCTTTTCCCTCTCTCAAAGTTCCACCTCTCTCCACCAAGTCCTGCTAATTTTGGTAATGTTAAGCCTTTCTTTGACACTGTTCCTTCCTCTACCTGTGCTAACCATAAGCCAGGAGCAGCACCTTGAACCTTTGGCTGTACTTAAGTTTTATGTGTGTCCTGAATGTGTTTGTGTGCACACATATATGCACATGGAAGCCACAGGTCAACACTGGGTAGCTTCCTCAATTGTTCTTAATCTTATTTTCTTTCTTTCTTTTTTAAAATTATTTTTATGTGTATGAGTGTATGGCCTGCATGTACGTGAGTGCACCCATGTTGTGCAGTGCCGCAGAGGTCAGAAGAGGGCTTCGAAGGATTCCCCTGGAACTGGAGTTAAGGACAATTCGTAGCCACCATGTGGGTGCTGGGTATCGAACCTGAGTCCTCTGCAAGAGCTCTTAACCGCTGAGCCATCTCTCCAGCCCCTCAACCTTATTTTCTGAGACAGGGGCTCTCACTAAACCTGGAGCTCACCAATAGGCTAGGCTGGCTGAACAGTGAGGTCCAGGAATCTACTTGTCTCTGCCTCAGAGTAATGGGATTATAGACACATGAGACCATGCCCAGCTTTTTTACATGGGTGCTAGCAATCCCAAATTCAGGTCCTTAATGCTTGTGCAGCAAGCATTTTATAGACTATACCATCTCCCCAGCCTCTGCAATTAACTCTTACAGATATGCCTCTTATCAAACTGTCATTATTCTAGATGTCAATACACAAGGGCAGTGTCCGGATCAGAGCCTGCTCCACAAATATCTGTCACTTGTTAAGATACAAGTCCATCATACTTACCGACTGAGGATTCATTTTACCAGTCATCAAAGCCAGCAAGTCTGAGTCAGCCATGGTGATTGTGCAGTCAGCCTTCTTATCTGAAGAAGACATGCAGGAGAAAGACAGAGAAGAGAAGGAGAGCAGTCAGGACACATATATACTTCAGTCAAGACCACTGTCTGCAAGAGAATCACAGCTATAGCAGCACAGGGAAGAGACAGGTACACACCTACTGCAGTCTGAAAAGATAAGGCAACCTAATGTTCAACAGAAAGAATTACTTAAACTAAGCATGGTATATTCACAGATTGGCGCACAATGCAGCCAGTCAGGAATGTGAAGCTAGACTTGCCGATCTGAAAACTGTGTTATATTGGTCATGATATTGGTATAAAATCAGTTACAGAATAAACCTTAATGATGATCCCATTTTTGCTTAAAATAGTATTCAAGACCACCCGCCGCAGGCCTCTCTCCTACCCCCAGGCCTCTCTCCAAGGTAAGTCCATCGCGCCCTCCTCACCTTGACTCCCCCAGCCTCATTCACCCTCCGATCTCCCCCGCCGGTCTTTCCTCCTAGTTTGGGTCGTCTCCCATTCTTTGTCTTGGTGCCCCAGACACCTGGGGAATCAATACTGCTTCCTGATCCTTTTCATCCAGACCAACCTAGTGCCTTCTCTGGGTCCCAGGAGCACGGCTTCTGGGCCTGGCCCTGCCCTCACCTCCCTCTGCTTCCCTGGGCCTGCACAACCCTCCAGCCTCTTTCTGGGACTGGGGGATGACCTTTCCTCTTCCTGATCTTTTGCATCCAGACCAACCCAGCTCCTCAGTGCAGTCCCCAGGAGTCCTTGGGGCCTCTTCCCGCCCCATCTGCCTTTGCATCTCTGCATGGCACGGCCACCAGCTGCCCTAGACCAGCATCGTTCCTGAGCCAGGCTCCCAGACCAGTCCAACCCCCAAATTCCTGAGGCCAAAATTGTTCCTGGAGGGATTCAGACCTGAGGAGAAAGCCTGAAAACATCTGACCCTCATCTGATTTGGGCCTGAAGACAAAAGCAATCTGGCCACTCCAATATAAAATCAAAAGAGAGAACTGGAAGCTTAGAAGAACCAGCCTTTCCTGCCCAAAAAGTAAACCCAAAAGACATATAAAGTTCACAAAAAGAAGCAGTCGTAAACTTGAAGGCCTGAGTCTCACACAAGAATCAGAAACTACAAAAGAAATTCACATGTCAAAATCACAGAGAAAAAATAATAACATGAAAAACCAAAATAACATATCACCACCAAAT